TTTGTATCGCTCTTTACCCTTTGTCAGAAAGATTTGTTATCTGTGTTCCTTGATGATGTGGTTGATGATCTGTATGGGGGTGTTGTATGGAGGATTATCTCGATAAGGATGCAGATGCGTTGGTGCAATGCACGTAACAAAGTGGATTGCGGTGTCTTTGCAATGCGGCATATGGAGACCTTTTTGGGTCAATCAGTGAATGCATGAGATTGTGGTTTGCAAAAAGGTTGATACTAGGGGTCTTGATTTGTTGAGGATGACTTATTTGCGTAATATTTTTACGATTGAGATTAACGTTCACCATTCCAAGAACATTCGTAGTGTAGTTGAATAACGTCATGTCCTCGTTCAAGCTATCTTCGTGTGTTCGTTTGTAGCTAGTTGATTAGTGGTTTAGTTTAGTTCACTTGGGCACATTCATGTATTCTGATTATGATATTTGATAGCTAATCAATGGTTAATTTATACTATTTTTTTTGCCCATTTTTCCTTAATCAATGTCGTTTTCCTGTAATGTTTCACACATCGTTAACACGTTTCCAATGCACAACACAGGTTGTCATATCATCTTGTATTCGATGTTCCATTATATTAGTACTCTAGCACACTGTGCCACACACACTGCAACATGACACACATAGTACATTATAAGTGCACATCGTGCCCTTCTTCTCTTTTCATCCGTGCACAAATTCTTTACGGTTTGGCTCACACACTTTAAGCTGTTGGTAAGTGCTTTTACAGACGTTTAGAATTGCACATTTACATATCAACTTAAGTGCATGCCTCGTTATGGCCACAATACCACAACACAATATGGCACACATGGTGAAACCCAAGTGCATACAAATTACATGTATGCTTTTTCGGACAGAATCTAATTACATCTAGTATGACACACACGTGACTCCTAAGTGCACACCATAATCCAACACCTCATCCTGGTTTCTGACGCGTCAATCTGTCAGTACCACCGCACACTTTGGCACATACAGTATACCCCAGGTGCACACCAATTTCTGTGTCGCCTTTTCAGCCGCGCTCAGTCTGTACGTTATGGCACAACCATTTTTCCATAAGTGCACGCTTAAAAGAATAACATCAACCTAATTTTTATGGGGTACAACTCCCAGAGTTTATGCACATTATAAAAGAACATTGTTAATATGTCTCTAGACATATGGAGCAAATATTATGAACATAGTCTAGGATAAATGTTATTAAACATGATGCTTTGTAGTACAATATTTATGTACATTAAGTTTTTTTTTTTGTTTTTTTTTTTTGTTTTTTTAATTATTTTATTTTATTTTTATGAACATATAAAAGGAACATTATTAACATACTATAAATTGAATAGAAATACATATGATATACATTTAGCTTACATCTGGATGAACTCCGTGATGAGCCGTCATGACCTGTGGAGCATTGTAAAATTATTTACTCAGTATATGGTTAAGCAGTGTGGCACAAACATTAAAACCAATGTGCACACCCTCAGGGCTTCTCTAGCCTGTCTGGCATATTCATAGCCACATAGGTGCACACACGATAATCACGCCTACGGAGTTTGGAATGTGTAGAAGGACACAATTATTCTCCATACATGTGATTTGTTATGTGTACTTACCTTGAGTTGTGTGTACACACGACCCAGGTAGACTAGTACGGATTGTGCACATCAGTCGCAGTGCGTAACTTTATTTACTCAGTATATGGTTATGCAGTGTGGCACAAACATTAAAACCAATATGCACACCATCGGGGGTTCTGTGGCGTGTATGGCACATTTATAAACCCGTAGGTGCACACACGGTAACGCATACAGAGATTTGGAGGTGTCAAAGCACGCATTCACTCTCCGTACACGTGATTTCATGAGTGCACTCACCTTTAGTTGTGTGTGCACACATCTAAGGCTGTCCAGGTCGGGTTGTGCACTTCAGAGTCGTAGTGTATGCCGTTATAGCAGAATTAGTCTGTGTTTATCAAAACTGCCGACCCAGGTTTGTGCACATAAAGTAATAGTACTCTTCATGCATTTGCACAGAGCAGTATGATAATGAACAATTCATCTAATTCCAGGCTATAACCCATCTTTACGCATGTACGATTTCAATTGAATCTAAAATTGAAAAAGGAACAGGTATAAGAATTGAAATATTATTCTTACCTTCGTGGTCTTCACTTGCCATCCTACAACATCAAACTTCAATTGTCACTTGGTCTTTGTTTGTCTCCGGGTGCACATTAACGTCGATATTGAGCAAACGCCGATCGGCAGATGATCCCGGGGAGATTAGGCGATCGCAGACTTTCAGACTAATTGGACTCCTTCCTTATCTTCTCTTCCTAAAATCTTGGAATCAATTCAAATATAATATTAGTTTATAGTTGGTCCCTGGATAAAATTACACTAGTATCCTTTTTAATTAATTATGTTAAAGATCTACATATAAATGATTACTTTATCTGGACCACTGATTGAGTAAATTTTAAGGGCTTGGATTAGTTCTTATGTTCCTACCTAACCAAGGGTTCTTACTTGAAGCCTCCCCTATATATATATATATATATATATATATATATATATATATATATATATATATATATATATATATATATATATATATATATATATATATATATATATATATATATATATATATATATATATATACTAGTTTTTTAGGCGCATTGCGCGATAGGGATAATACTCAATGTTTTTTTTTATTTTTTATTTTTTAAATAAGTACTATTAAGTATATCAAGGTAAGATTATATTGGAATTGTTCATGCATAGATAATTGAATGTTAAATTTGTGTATTTAAATAGGCAATTCTAAGATACAAATGCAAGATAATATAGTAAAGATTAATTATAATTGTCAATAAAATAATTGTATAGGTATGGTTGAAACCAAATACGAGATATAAGAGATAGCAAATAAAAATTAGGACATAAAATATTAAATATATACTAATATTGAAGAGCTAACTGCTAATTGCCAAATAAGGACATTGCAAGATAGTTTCCACTTCAATTTGTGGTGTGATTTGAATACTCTTTTTGTCAATAAATCCCTAAAGTAGTTAATATGATTGACTTAATTATATATTTTTTTATTTTTTTAAAATAATAATAATAATAATAATAATAATAATAATAATAATAATAATAATAATAATTATTATTATTATTATTATTATTATTATTATTATTATTATTATTATTATTATTATTATTATTATTATATCCTTAGGTCATTTACATGTTAATCTAAAAAGCTAATTTTTTCAAATATCTTTTTACCAACCGTTGATATAATTCGCTAGTCAAATTTGCTAATATAATCTGCTAACACTAACCGCTAACTACTGATTGTCAAACAAGGACATTGCGAGGTAGTTCTCACTTCAATTTGTTGTGTGATTTGAATACTCTCTTTGTCAACAAATCCCTAAAGTAGTTAATATATATGATTAGCTTAATTATATATATATATTTTAAATTTTTTCATGGTATTATTAAAATACTTGGTAAATAAATATATAACATTATTTTGTATTATAACTTTGATATTTAATTAAAAAATAGTGCACAAAAAAAGATAATAGACAATGTAGTGAATATAATCAATTGATGAATTTGAATTTAAAGAATTTTTACATTGGAGAAATATAAAGACAATATAACTAATAAAATTATTTCTCTTAATTAATTTATTGATAATGAATAATTTTTTATAATAAAGACATTGTAGGGACAATGTAGCAAATATAATCAATTGATGAATTTGAATGTAAGGAATTTTTATGTTGGAGAAAAATAAATACAATATAACTAATGAAATTATTTCTCTTATTTAATTTATTGATAATGAATATTTTTTTGAATAAAGACATTGTAGACACATAATTCTTAATTAAAGAAATGCATACGTATTATTTTTTGTTGTAACTACTAAATTTTTATTTAATTTAATAAGAATAAAATAGAGTACTAATTATGCCAACTTTGATTGGGATGAGGTTCGAACCTAAGACCTTTTCTTATTGAAATCAATGAGTAAGTTAACGGTGAACTAGCAAAAATTAACGGAAAAGATAATATTTAATGAAAAAGTTAACGGATAATCATATTCATTAAGGATAAATTAGGAAATTTTAAGAAAAAAATTAAAATTTGAGCCATTCATTTGATTAAAAAATTTGACCGCCATTTTTTCTACCCATTATAGGCCTAACTTTCTTGGGCTCTTATTAGTATAGTAGATAATAAGAGTAAAATAAAGTACTAATTATGCCAATTTTGATTTAGATGAGGTTCGAACCCTAATACCTTTTCTTATTGAAATCAATGAGTAAGTTAAAGATGAACTAATAAAAATTAAAGGAAAGAAAGCTCCAAGAAAGCTCCAAGAAACAGACGAAACTTAATCTAGCTCCGACGGGTCATGGACCCACCTGATACCGGCCAGATTCGGTCGGCCGATCAAGACTTCCTTGAACGGAACTCGAAGAAACTGAGACAAGATGAGGGATTAACAAGCTACGATGCAGGCGCAAGGTTGCAAGAACCGACACCAGGTACATCCGGGAATCCAATCGGCGATAGCCTAATGCATGAGGCACCCGTTCCACTACCCACTTACGGGCAGAAACTTATGGGAGTATCGCCATCAAGGCAGCAAGAAAAGGTAGATGAAGTCGAAGAGGTCTCCGATGACGATTTTGCGGATATACCAGGAACCGGTGACTGCCCAAGAATCCTTCTGACAAGAGATGAGAAGCTGCGACTCCACCGGCCATGGAGACGCTCACTGATAATCCGAGTCCTAGGATGTACAGTAGGATATAACTTCCTCCTCCGACGTCTGCAGAACCTGTGGAGACCGGAAGGCCATATGGAGCTGATTGACCTAGAATATGACCACTTCATAGTGAGATTTGAGTCCTAGAAGGATTACGACTTTGCACGTTTCGAAGGACCATGGATGATTCTCGACCACTATGTTATTGTCCAGCAGTGGACCCCAAATTTTATCCCCTCAAAGAATAGAGTGCAGAAAATTCTGGCATGGGTACGCCTCTCGTCAATTCCAGTAGAATACTTTGATGAGGTTTACTTGTGGAAGTTGGGCGAACAGATAGGGAAACCGATCAAGATTGATACTACTACTAGTCTGGCTTCGAGGGGTAAATTTGCACGGATTTGTGTTGAAATTGATATATCAAAGCCCCTACTAGCAAAGTTCTGGATTGAGCAGGAGGTGTGCCCTATTGAATACGTAGGAATTCATTTGGTATGCTTTGGGTGTGGGCGGTATGGTCATAAGAAGGAACAATGTGGAGAGGGAATTGGGAAAAAGGTCAGGGAAGAGTCAGGGCAAGAAGTTGATATGAGGGAGGTAGCATCAGAGGAGACACAATTCCATGAACCTGCGCTGATGGAGAAAACCATATCAAGGGATCAGTGTAAATCGGAAAAGTATGGGTCTTGGATGCTGGTAACGCGTAAGGAAAGGAGGAGCAATAGGAGGAATGGCAATCGGGGTAAGCAGGGCTCTAAGGTGACGGAATCAGTACCTTAGCCGCCGACTGGCTTCAAGGTGCACCAAAATCAACTGTATAAGACACGGTTTGGCCCTTTGGCCGAGATGGAAGAGGCTAAAGACGTACCAGCAAACCAAGATACTGATCCGGTGAGACAACCTGAAAAGAGGCAACTAGACCAATCACACTTGCCTATGCCAGTCCCAATCAGAATTCATCAAAATTCATCACGACCAAGAACAGTAAGCACTAATCGAGAGTCTCCATCCCCCTCCTATCAGAAGAGCCAAAGCCCATCCTATCGAAGAGGGCCAAGGGGCAGAGGTGGTGGACTCGCTACACCAAGACAAGCGGCGGCGGAGGAAGAACATGTTGTGGTTAGGGGCTGAACTAGAGGAGGAATTGTGAATCGCTCAGTGGTCCGACACCGAGGGATTGATTTCCAGCTGACCTCTCCAAATGATACGGGTGACCCAGCTCCATCCACCCCACTGGAAGATGGGGCTGATTTTTATGATTGTGATGATCCGGCAAATGAGGCGATGGAGGAAGATTCCAACCTGTCCAATCAGGCCCCGGTTTTGCGTTCTGCTGGGAGCAACTTCGTGCTCCACCCTTCGTCTAATAGTTTCCAATGAATCTCCTAGTTTGGAATTGTCAAGGAGCGGCGTCGAGGAAGTTTCGCCGTATCTTGGGAAATTTCACCAAAGTTTATAAACCAGAAATTGTTTGTTTGTTGGAGACTAAAGTCTCTGGAGCTCAGGCTAATGACATCTGTTGCCGTCTGGGCTTCGACGAATGGCTAAGAGTGGAAGCTTTTGGCTTTTCTGGAGGAATTTGGGTTCTTTGGAATCTTACCATACTGGTGGATGTCCTAATTACTCACCCACAATTTGTTGTCGCGAAGGTGTCCCATAGTGGTTCACCATGTTGGTTTTTGTCTTTCGTCTATGGCAGCCCGAACATTACATTACGTAGAGAGTTGTTTTCTGAACTCTCCCGTTGTAATGTTAACTCCATGGGAGGTTGGCTGTCGGTAGGAGATTATAACTCTGTAGTTAATAGCAGTGAGACTTCAAGTACTAGTAACTTCTCTCTTAATCGTTGTGCAGATTTTAATCACTGGATTTTTAGTGAAGGATTGCTAGACCTAGGCTTCACGGGGTCATCCTACACTTGGACCAGAGGCCTCGACACATCTACTTTCAGAGGAGCAAGGCTTGATAGAGCACTATGCAATACTGACTGGAGGCTACTTTTTCCTAAAGCAGATGTTACCCACTTACCAAGAATCGGCTCGGACCATAACTCGCTTCTAGTTCGGACAAACCCAACCGGAGGGGGTGGTGTGCTGAGATCATTCAAATTTAATGCAGCATGGTTGACACAAGGATTTCCACCAGTTTACTAAGAACAATTGGGAGTCAAATGCAAAGCTTGATCTAGCGTTGGGCTCCTTGGCAACCAAAGTGGAGGGTTGGAATATTTCCACCTTTGGTTACATCTTTGGCAAAAAAAAAAAAGATTCATGGCAAGGCTGGAAGGGGTGCAGCGTAGCTTAGTTACCAAACAACATCGGGTCTGATGAGATTGGAGAAAAGGCTACGGGAAGAATTAGACGAAATCTTATACCAAGAGGAATTGTTTTGGTTTCAGAAATCCCGGGAGAACTGGATAACGTCGGGAGACCGCAATACTGGGTTTTACCATGCTTCAACAGCAGCTAGAAAGGGGCATGCTAAGCTCACTTCCTTGAGAGATGAACAGGGCAACTGGATCACGGATGATGGTCATCTTTTGGATCACATCTCCAAGTATTTCCAACATTTATTTACAGATGAGGGATCTTCCTGTAACACTATCATGGAAGGTAGCTTTCCTGAACTGCCCATGGAATTGTGGCAGAAAATCAATGAGCCATTTACAGAAATGGAGATCAGACAAGCAGTCCTGGTTATGGCTCCTTGCAAAGCACCTGGTCCGGACGGCTTTCAAGCTAGTTTTTTCCAGAAATCATGGAGTATTGTGGGCAAGGACGTCATCAAACTTGCAAATGACTTCTTCACTAAAGGAGATATGCCAAGTAGCTTAAATGAGACCATTATCACTTTAATTCATAAAGTTCTGAATCCAGAGTTAGTCAGTCAGCTTCGCCCGATCAGCCTCTGCAACATTTCGTATAAGATCCTAACAAAGGTCATGGCATCAAGATTAAAACTAGTTATGAAGAGTTTAATCAGCCCCCACCAGTCAAGTTTTGTTCTTGGGAGACAAACTTCTGATAACATTCTTACCTACCAAGAAGTCCTCAACTCTATGAAATATAAAAGAGGTGTTTCCGTTTGGATGGTAGTTAAAATAGATCTAGAAAAGGCCTACGATAGGCTCTCATGGAAGTTTTTGGAGGAAACTTTGAAGGCAATTGGATTCAATCAAACATGGGTAAGGAACATAATGCACTGTCACCTCTTCAAAGCTGGCTGTGCAATGTAATGATAAGAGATCTGACTGGTTCCGGCCAAGCCGAGGCATCCGACAAGGCGACCCCATATCACCCCTGCTTTTTGTGCTCTGTATAGAAAGATTAAGCCATCTTATCAATGTGAAATTCAGAACAGGAGCTTGGAAAGGCATTAAATTTACCAGAGACGGGCCGGAAGTTACGCATCTTTTCTTCGCAGACGACATGCTCCTCTTCGGGGAGGCCAGTGTGCGCCAAGCTCAAATCATCAAGTCGTGCCTAGATATATCCTGTGGCCATTCGGGGCAGAAGGTTAATTTCCAAAAATCCATAGTAAGTTTCTCAAGGAATACGCCATTAGAGGTTCAACAAGCCATCACCGGAGCTTTAAACATCCCAAAGTCGGAGAACTTGGGGAAATATTTAGGGGTACCGTCCATCCAAGGAAGGCTCAAGAAAGAAACTTTCGATGATCTAATTTCAAAAATCCAAAACAGACTGGCAGGTTGGAAAATGCGTACCCTTCCTTGGCCGGCAGAAGTATACTTGCTCAATCGGTTTTATCATCCATTCCGGCATATACTATGCAAACCACCCTTCTTCCTATGGGGGTGGTATCAAAAATTGAACGAATTATACTAGATTTTGTTTGGGGCTCCTCCGGGACAGAGAGAAAATGCAATCTGGTTGCTTGGGATAAGGTTACTAAAACAAAGGAAAATGAAAGTCTAGGCATACGGAAGGTGGGGGCTAATAATCAGGCTTTCCTTACCAAACTTGGATGGAGGCTCCACTCAGAGCAAGAGCCCCTCTGGGTACAGATAATGAATGCAAAGTATATGCAGTCTATAAGGACCCCGCCACATGGCAATTGAAACCTGGATGCTCGAATGCGTGGAAAGGTATCGTCCAATCATCCCAGTTTCTGTCGAAAGGCTTATGCAAACAAGTAAGAAATGGTAAGAATACACGCTTCTGGATGGACCTATGGATTGGCAGTAGACCTCTGTTTGAGTCATTGGCTTTTCATCTTCCATTGCCTGAACTCTATGCGCAAGTAGCAGATTACTGGGACTGCGAATTCGGATGGAAATGGGACCTGCTATGGGATAAACTTCCAAAAGAAATTATGGACTCCCTTACATCGGTTATCTTCTGTGAGGAGGAGAGTTATGAAGATGAGATGGTATGGGGTGATGAAAGCCAAATTCGCTCGGGGAGCCCCGGTAAGTTTCCTATCAAAACTGCTTATAAAATGATCACTAATGAGGAACTGGAGCAAGGTAGTAACAGTTGGGAGTCGATATGGAAACTTAAGGTTCCAAGTCGCATCCAATTTTTCATCTGGTTGGCGAGACATGATAGGCTCATGACTAATGTAAACAGGATGAAGCGTGGTTTCACACACACCAACTCATGTGATGTGTGTGGTGACATTGAGGAAAATACAGAACATATTCTGCGATCTTGCCCCAAAGGTCAAGAAGTTTGGCAGTCTATTTTGCCCAGTATAGCTTGGGGTGTTCAGAACCTAGACTTTACTAAATGGCTTGATCACGGCTTGAGCGGTTTTCATGACAAGAATAGGAAACATGGCTGGAGCATCACCTTTGCAGTAACGGCTTGGTGGCTTTGGAGGTGGAGGAACGATAGGATCTTCAACTCCAAAAACGTGGATAGACGATTCAAAGTTCTATGGATTCAAAACCAAGTCCCCGAGATAAACTCGGCATTTGAAAGAGCATCAGGATTATTTTCTAATGATGGCCGGTCTTGGAAGCTTATCAAATGGGAGAAACGACCTGCAGGTTGGATAAAGATCAATACAGATGGAAGTTCGAAGCCAGCTGAAAGAAAGGCCGGCTGCGGAGCACTCGCCAGAAACGAGTTTGGCGAATGGATCAAGGGTGTCATGTGCCATATGGGCAACTGTGCAGCTGAGACTTCGGAGGTCTGGGGACTTCTAAGGGGTATACAACTAGCAAAGGAACTTGGGAGCAGGAAGACCATTTTCGAAAGCGACTCCAGTACTATCGTCAAGGCGTTAAACTAGAAAGGTAGGATTAGCGGGGTGGCCAGAAATATCCTAAGGCCTGTTCCTCTGAGCTGGGTACTATTGGCGAGTGGAAGATTATACTTGCAGCAAGGGAACAAAATCAGGCAGCAGACCTCCTGGCTAGACGAGCTGCATTGTCCAGTGGCATAGAAGTAATGGAGGTTCCGCCAGATGACCTCACAAACATTCTAGTAGATGATTGTGGCAGTATCCCGGTTTGGCGTCAGATTTAGGCTCTTTGGGTGTCCCCCTTCCACTGTATATAAAAAAAAATTAAAGGAAAAGATAATATTTAACGAAAAAGTTAACGGATAATCATATTCATTAAGGATAAATTAGAAAATCTTAAGGAAAAATTAAAATCTGATCAATCTGAACCATTCATTCGATTAAAACATTTGACAGCCATTTTTTCTACCTATTATAGGCCTAACTCTCTTGGACTCTTATTAGTATAGTAGATATCGATATATATATATATATAGGGGTGACCACGGTTCCTGTTCCGATTCCGGTTCTAATCGGAATTATTAAAAAAAAATTAAAAATAACACTATAATATTTAATTTTTTTCGGTTTGGAACCGGAACCGCCGGTTCCGGTTCCAAGATTTTACAAACCTTAACCGGAACCTTATAGGTCCGGTTAAGAACCGAAATCGGAACCGTATGGACGGTTCCGGTTTGCACAGTCACGGTTCCGGTTTGCACAGTCACGGTTCCGGTTTGCACAGTCACGGTTCCGGTTCGAACCTACGGTTCGAACCGGAACCGTGGTCATCTATATATATATATATATATATATATACTTTCACACTTTAGAGGGAAAAAAATTTATGGCCATTATTTTGTTTTAATATATATAGAGATATAGAGATTTGTATTATTTTTATAGTTGTTATGTTCTTTGTTTGGTTATTGTTTGTAACATAGGTTATATCTTATATTTACGAATAAATTATGATCATGAATATGTAGATGTCTTTGTTTATTTAGCATTTATGAACGTGTCGTTTGCAAACGTGTGTGTGTGTATATATATATATATGTATATATATACACACACAATAATTACTTTCACACTTTAGAGGGAAAAAATTTATGGCCATTATTTTGTTTTAATATATATAGAGATATAGAGATTTGTATTATTTTTATAATTGTTATGTTGTTTGTTTGGTTATTTTTTGTAACATAGGTTATATCTTATATTTACGAATAAATTATGGTCATGAATATGTAGATGTCTTTGTTTATTTAGCATTTATGAACGTGTCGTTTGAAAACGTTAACTAACATGTTCATTAACGAACACTAATGAAGGCTTAACAAACAAACACAAACATGATTTTTAAAAATCTTAACAAACGAACACGAATACAAACACAAACACAAACACTCCAAAAATCTTAACAAATGAACACGAACAACTTCTGTTCACTTATGTTTGGTTTGTTAAGAGCCCTACACGGCTACACATATCTTATAACTCGAAAACTAAAATGGTAAATTTTTTTCCTTTACTCTTTTATGATATTGTTAGGAGTGACGACCAAGGCAAACATGGGTGTTGTTATCTCTCAGGGACAGAATGCTCTTTGGAAGGAATTAGTTTAGTGGATTGTCGGGATTAAATTAGAGAACTAATATTGACTGATACCAATTATTCATAGTCGTTTATTTATTATTTATTAGAGTTTTTTCCCAAAATGGTCCCTTGACTATTGCTCATTCTCAATTTTGCATTTCGACTTTCAATTGCACCCAATGTGGTCCCTTGACTTTAAAAAATTCACCCAAAATGGTCCTCCGTTAAGTTTTGCGTCAACTCAACGTTAATTGTGAGGGTATTACGGTCAATTCACATCGGTGGAAGGCAAGTACATGCTGATGTT